TGTCCTGTGTCTTGAAGGAAGTCTATAGAAAGTAAACTTAAAAGACCATGAAAGAAGGTATGTGGTAACTCCACACCCAGTCCTCTCTTCTGTCTTCCAGCTCTGTTTTAGGTGCCTTCTAACAATGGCCAGAAGGTGGCAGCCTAACCCGCCTGCCGGCACATGAACTCAGGAGTTCCATTCTTAGGGGAGGGAGACAGCACCAAAGAAGATGAAGATTTGAGAAAACAGGAGAAAGGCTGAGACACACCCTCATCACCCACCCGACCACAAGCACCTCATGGGATAACACCTCTGAGAAACCCTTTCTCAGTATAAAATCCTAGGGTTGTTTACTTGCTTTTTAAATATCTGTAGCCTCCTAAGTTCTCCCTCTAAAATGATGGTGCTGGGAGGCCAGACACTCAGGGCATTGTATTCCTCCAGCTCACACAGCAGTGTACCTGAGGCTCCCTCCTGCAGCAGGCAAGCCTCCTGGGCCCAGGCTCTCCCACTCACCAGGCACAGCTGGCCAGGGGGCAGCTGCGGGAGGACTGGGAGGAAGCAGCCTCCCCCACTGCTCCTGCTCCCGCGCACTGGGAGGGGGAGGGTGCTGTCTCCCTGCACAGCAGCTGGTGATGTCTCAGCTGTGACCCCAGAGCTTGTGCTGTGCCCAGGTCAGGGCGGCTGCTGCCCTCAGCTAGGCTGGGTGCTAACAACAGGGTGGCATGTGGACGCGTTCCCTGGGGCTGAGGAGGACAGGAGCCTGGGAGCCCTGCAGCTCCTCACCATGCCGACCACAAAGGGTCAAAGGGGAGTGAACAAGGATGCACGAGGGCCCTTGTTTGGCCTGAAGTCCACCGGTCACTGGGGAGGAGGGGTGTGGAGGACAGCACGCACGCACTGCTGATGCAGGGCAGGGCTGAAGAAGGAGCGCCTCCACTGCTGCTCACCTGCGTGGGCAGAGGGCGAGGTCAAAGCCAAACTCCTACGACAGACGGTGGTGACAACGCACTGTACCGGGAAAGCGGGTCCTCCTCGTAAGACGGCCCTGCAACTGAGGGGCTCAGGTACGCTCCTCTTTTCGCCTCCAAATATGCTCATTGATAGCACCAGCAGGTGACGGCTCACAGTGACTCAGGAGATGACGCACACAGCACTGGGAATGTGGGATGCCTGCCAGGCCGAGTCTCGCGTCACAGGAGGCCTGACTGGAGGAACTGGGCGCCGTCCACAGTCTATTCTGAACTTGATGGTGAAGGCTGAACTGGTTATACATGTGTGGCCTCTCCGACCAGTCAGACGTGCTAATGCGGACGAAGGGAACACTTGTCCTGCAGCCACGGGCACAGCAGGTGCCTGCGAAGAACATGGAGGTGCTCATGACACACTAGGGACACATCTTCTCTCCTCAGTGTCTAAGTCACAATGTGGATGGCGCTTTGTATTACAGGACGTCAGCTCTGAAGCCACCAAGGGGGCCTGCAGTCTGCTCTCCGACTTACTAACCACAGTGCTCAGTTATGAAATTCTGGCCACTGCTGTCCTCAGCAGAGAAGGCGCGTGTTCTGTGTCCTCTGACACCGCCTCTCAAGCTTTCCTGTGTGCACCAGTCACCTGGGAGCTTCTACTCCAGAAACAATGGGCAGGGCCTGAGGCTGGACACCTGAGGCCCCGTCTGTGCTGCTGCGCGCGCTCCTGTTTCAGGGTCACCGGAGAGAAGCTCTGAGGAGTCGCACGAGAGACTATGGTCCAGGTAGAATCACCCCTCAGTGATCGCCATGAGTACCTGCTGCAGGATGCTCTGGACACCCAGAAGGAAGGCCCTGCTGCTTCCTACTCACCTGTCCAGGAAAGCTATCCCCAAGGACCACCCAACACAGGCCCTGACTTTTCCCTCCTCTCCTCTCAGAGTATGAGGTCCAATTAAATGTCCCTGCCTTGAGAAGGTGGGTCTGCAAGAGTATGTATGTGTTTGGCAGAAAGGAACACTGAGCTCCCCCTAAAAGGTTAACACACTCCTGGTTTGTCTTTGTCCTCACAAAGCCAGCAGCCATCTTCATATTTCAGAGGACAGAGTCCTCCACATGCACGCTGGTGAGGCCACTTCCCAACCTTGCTGTGGAGTCCACACGCCTGCCACTGGAGACCAGGAGACTCACATCAGCTCCCCCAGGCCTTGCGCAGGTACTTCAGAGGTGGGGGTACAGAGCGTGGGGCATCTGCTGGAATTGTGTGCCTAGAGATTAATGCCAGTCCACAGGGGTCCCGTAGAACCACCCCACTAAGTGACTATATGCATGTATGGATTCATGTAGGCCACTGCTGACGAGAGAGAGAGAGAGAGAGAGAGAGAGAGAGAGAAATTTCACTTTGGAAGAGGGTTTCTCAACTGCTTACTAAACTAAATATGCTCTGACCTCACCATCCAGCAATCACACCCATTGGTGTTTACCCAAAGGAGCTGAAAACTTACGTCCACAGCAAACCCAGCACAGATATATAAAGCAGCTTTACTCATAATTTCAAAAACTTGGAAGCAACCAAGATGTCCTCCAGTAGCTGACTGGACAAATAAGCTGTGGCCCATCCAGACGATGAAATACTATTCAGCACTAAAAAGAAGTGAGCTGTCGAGCCACAGGAAGACATGAAGGAACTGGAAATGCACATTGCTAAGTGAAAGAAGCCAGTCTGAAAGGTCTGTGCACAGTATGATCCCAACTCTATGACATTCTGGAAAAGATAAAACTATGGAGACAGTAAGGGGTTGGTGCTTGTCAGGGTTCGGAGGTCTAGGGGTAGAAGGAACATGGAGGATTTTTAGGACAGAGAAATCACTGTATGATGCTATAATGATGGACCCATGTTGTACATTTACCTAAACCAATAGGATGTACAATAACACAATGTAAACTAATAAACTGTGGACTCTGGGTGATAATGGTGTCCATGTGGGTTCACTGTCACAAACGTACTGTCCGGTCGGGGACGTTGATAATGGGGGAGGTTGGGAAGGGGATAGGGGATGTATCAGAAGTCACTGTACCTTCGGCTTAATTTTTGATGTGATACTCAAGCCGCTCTAAAAAAATCAAGTATAAATAAATAAGTAAATAAATAGTGAAAGAGAAACCATATTCTTCAAGAAAAAGAGAGAGGAAGGTGCCTGTCTCTCAGGGAATTATGGGAACTGTTTATTTTCCCTTCTACTGAGAGCTCTAAGGTCGCAGGGCCATATGCCACAAACAGCAGTCAAAGCAAACTAGCAAATGAAAGGCTGCCACTGCTGGGATCAGGGGATGGGTGTGGGCGGGCAGGTGCTGCATGCTGGCCCTCCTTCCCCTGTTGGTGCAGACACCTTGCCAGACGCCTTTAGGGAGGCTGATTCACACCCTTCCTGAACCCGAGAGTCTCAGTAAGCAACAAAATCACTCTACAGTTGGTGGTGTGGAATTCATCTAAATTGGATATCAGCTGAATAGTAAGATCAATAGTCTAAATAGTTTTACCAATTAAGACCTAAACCTTAAGAAAACCTTAGCTTCTTTAAATTCTTAAATCTCAGAACCGCTGAAAGCAATGGAGCCTATTTATGTACTTCAAGTTCACTCAAAGAACTTGACACCAAGTACTGTCAAAGCCTTTCCTAAGACACTGACAAAACACCTGAGATGCACTGCTGGCGCAGAGGGAGGAAGCAGAGCAGGAAATGAGAGGGCAAAACAAACGACACCACCAGAGCCCCAGTCGCCCAAAGCCTTTTAGACAGGAAGCAGCCTCCTCCCAGATTCTTGCAGGAGTCCTCCCTTGACTGGCTTTCCTGCAGATAAAGAATGCAGATGTCACCCCACGGTGAAGGTCCAGCAGGTCATCGGCTTGTTCTCTTTTCAAACCGCCAGTGCCTTCCAGGTTCTGTCATGTGGATGGTCTTTCCCCATTGCTAGTGGGAGTGGGGTTCTTGAGGTATCACTGGGATGAGCATTTCCGAGGCCCCGTGATAGAATAAGATGTGGTAGAAAGCTTTATTTTCGTGGAATTACATCCTTGGGTTTGCAAAGTCCCATTGCCCTTAATCCAGTCTCAGAAGATGTATAAGCAAATCCAGCATCCAGTTTCCTTTCCAGGTTGGAACTGAGTCCAGTACAGCATCAGGCTACTGCAGTCCATTAGTCCATTGTGTGGGGTCCACAGAGCAGTGAGTCATGTGGGCGAATGCAGGAGAGCAAGAGAGCACATCCCCTGCAACTAGAGAACCAGGAGCCCAGAGGGCAAGAGTAGGAGAGGGAACTCCTTTGTTTCGGAGATTAAATATCTCAATCTTCCCCTGCTTGCAGAGGCCACGACTGCTCTGGCCAATGACCTGTTCCCAGGTGTCACTGACAGGAAAGCACCTTCCCCAGTTCACCCAGACTGTACTGAGCGTGCGTCTATTTCCCTCTGCCAGCCCTTTCCCCCAGCGAACTGTGGGTACTAGACCAGTGGTGCCCTGGGGAGTATTAAACTGCAGCTTCCTGGCAGTGCTACACAGATGGCCTTGCCCATAACATCTGGCCTTCCCTTTGCTCCTTTCCCGTCACCAATAACCAGCTTAATTACGGTGGTATCAAGAGCAGAACAAGCAACTAAGCCTGTATCCTCTCAGACAGGACTTTGCCAAGATAGGCGACTACCCTAGAAGATGAGGGCCCCATATTTATAACTTGCTCATAACTTACGGTAACGGGGAGACTTGTATTTTGCCTGTTTTTAGGGGGCACCTAAATTAGCATGAAATTGCCTTAGATTTCAAACTCCAGATGAGATGAAGCAGGAACCTGCAGTTCTGCCGCTTGCTAACCATGAAACGTTAGCTGAGCGCTCCTTATCGAGGCGCCTCTCAGAGCACTTCACTTGGATTAACCACTTAGTCCTCAAAGAGACCATGTAAGATGGGACCAAGGAATAGAGAGAATAAGCAACATGCCTGTTAGGTCACTGAAGGAGGAACACACGAGGCCAGAGTGGTGAGGGATTACGGATTTATTCGATCATCCACACACCAGGTGGCTGAGCCTGGATGGCTCCAGCACCCAGTGAGGGCAGTCAGCGGCTTCTAAAGGACTTTTGATGGGACTTTTTCTGGGTGGACACTTCTTTATGCAGACCTGGAGGAGAGAGAATGGAATGTGGTCAAAGGGAATGTCCATTGTGAAATGACCTGAAAAGCCAGTTCCTGGGGGAAGAGTACCAACTCAATTGCTCCATCAAACCTAACATTCCAGCCTTTTTGTTTTATGGAATAGGGACAAAGGTCATGTCTTCTGTAGTTACTTGCTGCTGAGTCTGGATGTCAAGATCACAGGGGGCTGGCCTTTGAGTGTAGTCAGCTGGAATGTCGTACAGGTTCCTTCTGGTTGGAGCGAGGGGTGCAGCAGCATGGTCTCCCCGAGACGGGCTGGTGAAGGCTCAGTGATCCTGCTGAGTGACTGGGAGGTAAAAGCTGGTCCTGAGGCTGCCACAGCGTCACTGGTCTGGTTTTGCTGCTTTTCTGGGCCTGGGGCTGAAATACAACGGAGGCCGTTTTAGGAGGGAAAAGAGTAGGGGTCTCAGTTGCCTCACTAGTGATATGAAAGGGGAGAACAGGTTACCCTGGGGATGAGGTTCTTGTTTTCCAGTTTTGCCCCTTGCTGGGCACCCACATGTTTCTTGTAGGTCCTGAGACAGGGTTTCAAAATAGGTAGAGCAGTGGTTAAGCTCCCAATGGCAGTTCCAGCCCCTGCTGGTGTGCCCAGGGTTATGAGGAGAGGGATTATCTGGACTCCTCTTTTGTGTCAGCTATGATGGGTTACAGGGACAAGTAAAGACTGATTATTGGGGGCTGCATCTACATTGGGTGAGAGAAGAGAGTACAAGTTCCTGTCCAGCTGATGGGGAGACAGATGTATGTGTTTTCCCCACAGAGGAAGAAAAATCCCTGATCACGGAGACGAGCTGATAGTTGTAAGGAGAAGAGGTGGACTAAAGGATGTGAGTTTCCTTTTTCTAGTTCCGCAATCCAAGCTGAGAGGGTAGTCGCCATGGTGCTACCAATAAGGGGTGACAGATGAGTGGTTGAGATTGTATTGCAGTGAAAGCGGGAGGGAACGCTAGGATGGGCTGTTATCCAAGGGAAAAGAGAAAGGGAAGGAAAGGAGCAATTGAGGCCAGGGGCCAGGATGGTTGGATAAGAAGTCAGACACTACACTCAGACCAGCCAAATTTAGTACTTGAAATTTCCTGAGGTTATAATCTGCCACTCGCTGGCTTAACTTCTTATTTTTACTGAACCTTAATCCTTGCTGTTTTTCTGAATATTCTGGTTTAGCTTAAGAAGTATCCAGGCTTGGAGACTGAAATCTCACTTTCTTGCTCAGAGTAAAATGGCCCTTTTACAATTCTTGTAAATAGTTAACTTTAGAACCTCTTTCTTTCAACATTTCTCCTTTCCTTCTCATCACATAGGCAACCTTCACAAATTTCACACTTTCAAATTAGCCTTCAAACCTTCCTTCCATGTCCTTCAAAAATGCATACCATGTCTCAGACCTTCCATTAAGTATTTCTACTCTAATATTCTTTCTTTTTTCTTTAAAAGGTATTAGAATTCTTCACTCTTAGAAACTTTAACTTTTCAATTATAACCGAAAAGTAAACAGCCAACATTTCTTTTTTTTATTTTTATTTTAGATTA